GGGGAGCAGGAGGGGGAGGAGGAGGGGGAGGAGTGGGAAGAGGAGGGGGAGGGGGAGGGGGAGGAGAAGGAGGAGCAAGAGCAGGAGGGGGAGGAGTGGGAGGAGGGGGAGGGGCCAGGGGGAGGGGGAGGAGGGAGGAGGGGGAGGAGGAGGAGGAGGAGGAGGAGGAGGGTCGAGCGTAGAGTGCTGCAGGCCAGCGTTCGTGAATCCCGTGCTCGCCAGGACCGCGGGCGTCAGGGCGTCCGCGGGCCGGCAGGGGCGGTGGTGCGCACCGCGGAGGAGACTCGACTGGCGCGTCCTTGGCTGGAACTTGTTCCGCACGAGAGCTGGGACGGAGGTTACTCCAGATTTCGTAAGAAAGGGAGGGGGGTCTCATTTCGGGGGGGGTCTCTTCCAGGCTATCTTGGAGGGCCTGGGGGGGTCTGGGGACGATGTTTTGGAGGGTTCTCCCACGGGGGAGGTCTGAAATGGCTTGTCTTGGAGGGTCCAGACCCCCTCCCTTGTATTACAAAAATCTGGAGTACTGATCCCTCCAGGTGGTGTTGGTCGAAGGCGTCCGTGACATGATCTTGGCCAGTCTTGGGGATGGGGCACGCGCTCCAAGACTTCGAGGGAAGCCGTTGCTCCAGCCGATCCTGGATGTCCTTGGGAAGCTGAGAAGGCAAGGGAGCTTGACGGCAGCGCGCGGATTAGCAGGAGTGGCCCCAAGAGGATACCCTACCCAACTCCAACTCTTTGAAGATAGGCGAACGGTGGACCCGCTCTGCCAAGCCTGTGGCGCTGCTGTCGGAAACCTGGCACATAAGTTTGCCTGTTGCGATGTCTCAGCTGTTGTGAGTATAGATCTGGAGGTCTCGAACATCCTTGGCGAGCCCGACGGAGAATGTAAAGAACTCCTACTGCCTAAGGGCCTTGCTGTGGCGCCTGATCTGTGGCCTGCGCCGTACGCAGTTCCTGGCCACAAGTGGGAAGCGGTGCCGCCAGGGGATGTTCTCGGGACCAGGGTGTGCATTGATGAGTCTGGTGTGGATCCAGAGCTGCCGCAATTCTCCCGGGCGGGGTGGGCGGTGGTTTCCGTGGTCGGCGCTGGGTTTGGCGGCTGGACCCACGGGTCGGCATACGGCCCACTCCCACATGCGGTTCAGGTGACTGGGTGTGGGGAGGTGAACACGTCGGTCGGAAGAAGTAGGTAGCAACATGAAGTAGGAAGGCGGACGTAGTAGATAGGGCCCAGGTCCTCCCAGAGAATAACAAAACACAGCAAACTCATGCCGATTCTTGAAGTAGGAAGGCGCTTCAAGTAGATTGGGGTCTGGGAATCCAAAAAGACCTACTTTCAACGACCGGCATGTATGCGCTGCTCATGTGCTGACGCCTTCCAGGCCCAGAGCCCATGGAAATGGTGACCGATTGCGCGATGGTCACCTCGGTCTGGAAGAAGGGGTCCTCCCAGAACCTTGAGAACGTTGCCGTCTCGGAGCTTTGGGTTGACATCTTCAGGGTCAACGAGTACATCGGTAGGAATCGAATCACAGTTCGCAAGATTGAGTCCCACCTGTCCCTCCACCAATCCCGTGTGCGTACGGTCGGCGAACGGAAGTGGAGGGGGAGCCGCAAGGCGGACGAACTGGCCAAGAAAGGTGCCCGCCTCCAGCCGTGTAACCCCCTCACTAGACAACAATATAACGATAGCCTCCCACGTGTGCGAGAGGCTGCATGGCTGATTGCTGACATTATGGACGGGTTCAGCTCGAGGCCCATTCCTGATGTGGCTCGGTTCCGTAGGCCTAGACGGCCCAAGCCTTCTGGTTCCCGATCCCAAAAGGGTACGCAGTTGAACAAGTCGGTAAATCAGCCGTTTTATGTCTGGCCAGCGGCGAGAAAGGAAAGTCTCGTGCAGCGGCTTGTGGTTTCCCCTGTGGTGGCCCGCCTAGGGTTGCCAGGCACAGCCACAGGACACGTATAATGTGCTTGATGGGATGCCTCGTCGGTTGGTGCTCGCGCTGTGGGGCCTTTGGCGAAGCTCGGTCCCACAATCTAAGTGCTAAGTGTCTTGGGGGCCCTGGCAACCGCTACGCTTCAGGGAGTAACTAAACTCAAGACTGGCATCAACCCCAGCAGTAAGACATTTGTTGGGAGGTCGGTGCACCTTGTCTGGTCGCTGCAGGGTTGGGTCACGGCGGACCCCCTGCTCGGTGAATTGCTTCTGTTTGCAACCTCATTGCAGCATCGTGCAGCGATGACGAGGCTTCCGAGACCAACGGAAGACCAACAGGAGGAGGAGGAGGAGGAGGAGGAGCAAATGCAAGAGGGGGAGGAGGATGGGGAAAAGGGGGAGGAGGAGCGGGAGGAACAGGAGGACAAGGGGGAGAAAGAAGAGGAGGAGGAGGAGGAGGAGGAGAGGGAGGAGGAGGAGGAGGAGGAGGAGGAGGAGGGAGGAGGGAGGAGGAGGAGGAGGAGGAGGGGGAGGAGGAGGAGGAGGAGGAGGAGGAGGAGGAGGAGGGGGGGAGGGGGAGGGGGAGGAGGAGGAGGAGGAGGAGGAGGAGGAGGAGGAGGAGGAGGAGGAGAAGGTTTGGGACCGAGACCTTTCTGGCACTCTGGAGAGAACCAGAGCGTTCTTCTTACAGAACCACTCGGACTCACCTTACACGTTGCTTAATAGATTCATTTCTCTTTCTGCTTGTGATCTAAGCCGTGCATTTTGCCAGTGGGCAGACACAACACGGGAAAAGAGAAGAGTTGGCACCGACGCCGACGGGCACGGAGGGGAGCTTGCAGATTGCTCTTGCGAGCGCTGCGAGCCAGAGATATCCTTGCGTCGCATCATTCAGCACAAAACATGGCGGGCAAAGGTGGAGCTCGTATTACGGGACCAGGAGTGCAGTGGGATTGCATGCAGTGTGGACGGTACGTAAAAGGGCACCACTGGCGATGCTTGTGCGGACAGACATACGGACAGAACCAACAACAGCAGAATTGGGCTCATCATGGTTCAGTATTGCCGGGTGGTGCCAACTTTGTGGGTGCGGGGCCAGGTCGGGTGCAGGCGCGTGATGCCAAGCCCAGGGCCCCATCCAGGCCGCGTGGACCTGGAGCCAACGATCCCGACAACAAGAAAGCCGTGAAGAAGTATCTGTCATCCATCATGCCAGCTTGCAAGTCAGACGCGGAGAGTTCACCGTTCTTTGAGCCCGCTCCTATGGAGATCGAGGGCCTCAAGAAGTTCAAGGCGTCGTTGAGGCAGAAGCTCCAGGGTCTGGCCACTCTGGGTATTGCTGGGCGCAACATCGGGAAGGATTGCCTTGACACGGTCAACGAGATCTCCGTTCTGAAGTATATGCTAAGCATGATGGAGCCCGTCACCAGGCAGCTCCACGAGTTGCGCCAGAGGAAGAACGCGACCACGGACAGAATGAAAGTTTTGGAGGGCAGGCTGAGGTCTACACAATCGGACATCCAGCAGTGTCAAGTAGAGTTGCAGCACATCAAAACCAGCATCGAGGAGCTCGAGGAGCTTGAGGACTCGGACACCGAGATGGCGGACACGGGTGCGGACGATCGTGGCGGTGGAGGTGGCGGCGGGGCCTGTGCGGCGGCTACGGTCGCGGCTGAGCGTCCCGCCCCCTAGAAGATCCACACGCCGCGCGGTGAGGTCCGCACCCATCCAGCAGGCGCAGCCCCAGAGCCAACGGTCCCAGGACCGCCCAAGGCTGAGCCGCCGCCGCTCGGATCGCAGCTCGAGAACATGATGCAGATGCTGTCCAACCTCATGGCAAAGCAGAATCACACGGAGTCGGTGCTCAACAATCTTGGGACTTTCGTGATGCAGCAGGCTACGGCGGCCAGCGTCACCAGTGCGGCGGGGGCAGGAGGACCGATGGGAGTTTTTCCTGCTGGGGGACCTGCGGCGGCGGCGGCAGGGCCAGCCCCCGAGGGAGCTCAATTCAAGACGCCACCGCACAGATCCAGGGCGGCGAACAGTCCTGGGCCAATGGGAGCGCCGCCAACACCAGCGGGAGGGTGTCCAACACCAGTCGCAGCTACGCCAGTGGAGCCCCCGACCAAGGCGCCGATGCCCAACTTCGGACAAGGTGGAGATGGCGAGGTACCCTACATGTCGCAGATCCCGCCGACCCAGCCGGTTCACCACATGGAGATGGAGGATCCCCACATGCCAGCGCCGGAGACATCGGTAACGGAAGGCAGCTCGACGGCAAGTTCAACACCTGTGGGAGCCCCATTGACGCCAGAGCAAATCGCCGAGCAGACCCGCAAGAGGAACGAGAGGGAGGCCGCAGCGGGGGCGGTCGAGCGCCCAGTTCCAGCAACACCAGCGGGCTCGCCGAGCGGGCTTACCGACGCGATGGGAGTTGTCAACCTCGTGAGCCAGGCCACGCAGGAGGCGCCCGTCGACACCGAGACGGCCAGTCCGCCGCGCAAGGAGGCACGGACCTCCGCGTGAGGCTGGGCGCCGTACAAGTCAGATTTTTCCGAACAGATGAGGGACCACCAATAATTTCTTCCCCCCCATGCCATTCCAGGGCGTTCTATCCTCAAACCTTCAGCGTGTAAAACTGAAACCCCAGTGGACTCATCTAGTTCGGAGAGCAGGGCATCTCCCTGCCAAAGTTTCGTTTCCCTTGACGCTTCTAGCGATGATAATGTCACTTGTCAGGCTGTTGAGAATATGTCGGGTCACCACGTAGGATCCAGTCTTGATTTCTCGGGAGTTTCTTGGGCATGGGGAACCCCAAATGAGTGTGATTTCTTCCTCGAGCTTGCTTGCACGTGTGTATGTGGAAAAAAAGTTAGAGGTCATCGTTTCGCTGTTTTTGAGTTTTCAGCTTGCTAGGTCGTGCAAGTCTCCAGCTGAGGCTGCTCGCACGATCAACTCTAGCGAGCCAGAGCTTTCTAAGCATTCTGGTTTGAAGTCTCAAGAGGCTGGGGGTGGGCGCTATCATTGTCTGATTATGGCAGAGGGGTGTGCTAAGAGTAGATACACCCCTCCCTCGGAGGACAGTGACTGGGTGCCTGCTCTTGGCTCTCTATGGCTGGAAGCTTTCGATGGGGCGGGATGGGCAGGGATAGGTTGGGGAGGGGACAGTCCGACTACACAGGTCTTGAGACCCGACGCTCCTGTCTTTGTTCCGCTCGAGGCCGAGGTCAGAGGGACTTGGCCCAATCCGCTGGCACCAGCTTGGAGAGAGGGGGTATATCCCGCGTGCGATCGTGAGCCGCCCTGTCCCTTGTGGTATATCGCTGAAGAAACATCGCTGTTTGGATTGATCCATGATTTCTCTCTCGATGCTTGGATTCCGCTTCACCATGCCCCGACGGTGTGTGTAACCACATCGTCTGAATTAAGCAATGTTTTGGTGTATCAAGGTTCGCTTCTAGGCTTGCAGGCAGTTGTATCGTTTCCTGATATCCAGGTCAACACTTTTCAGTTTCGCTGGGGGTCTCGGCTGAGTTTCGAAACCTATCTGTGTTGTCCTGGGTTCACCTATTTTCATCCTGGGCCGATATTGGCCAAGTTACTCCCCCGCCGCTCTGTCCCCACCGACACTTCAACTCATCGGGGAAGAGGCGAGGCATCAGGTACAGTTCCCCCACTCCAGAGCCCCCCTCCTAGCTCGGGTCCTGCTCCTCTAGTCTGCCCAATGAGTCGTTTGGAATCCTTATATTCGATCATTCAACGACATGGCAGTCTGAACTGGACAACGGAAAGTGAAGGAATACAACTACCAGAGTTGGTTCAACTTGCCCTGGATATGTGTCCGACGAGACAAGCTGACTGGACAACATCTCATTTTTTCACTGACGGGTCCGTCAAGGACTTAGACATGCAGACTGCCACGTGGGCTGTTGTCCGAATATCTGAGGACTCGGACGGTCTCTCTTACACTGGTCATGTGGGTATCTTGCAGACACCTGCAGGACACCAATTACCAACAACAGACCCTCGTCAACAGACGCGGAGTATGTAGGTGTGATGTGGGCTAGTATTGCCATTATTTATGAGGTTGCCACGTTTGGTACCATGATAGCGACTATCAACACAGATTCATTGAATGTGGTTACGGCATTGCGAGGTGAACGAGCACTGGATACATCTTGCAGGCTCGCGGTCATGACGAGAGTGCTATGGGATTTAGCTGGGTCAATTGCCACTGTTTCGATTTCCCACATTAAAGGCCATGCTGGCCACCCATGGAATACTTTTGCTGACAAGTTGGCCCTGGGGACCTCTCGGGTGACTTGGTTCCGCCTAGCTTTCCCTACGACCTGCTTGATGTCACATTGCACTCTCGCGAAAGGGAATGGGAATGGTTGAATCAGTTGTCTGATTGTGAGCGAGCAGCTTATCCTCCGATGTCCCCCGAGGGGTTCTGTTCCTTCCCTCGTCGCGACAAGGTCAACGTTGGCCATGTGCCGGACCCCCTGGGACCCCCCAAAGTTACCAAGGCTCAGCTGAGTTGCTCGCTCACAGTGGTTCAATAGAATGTTGAAAGTCTGACGCGACGTGAGTATTACGGCGCAGCGGGGCGCAAGAGGCGAGCCCGTCGAGTCATGGTGCGACCCCAATTAGTGGATGAGGGTGTCCACATTGCGGGGATGCAAGAGTCAAGGAACCCTATAGGCGATCGCTCTTGCAAAGGTTTTGCTATTTTCTCTTCGGGAGCTGGGCCAGGTGATGACTCTGGCTTAGGGGTGGAGCTTTGGCTCAGTCTGGACATCCCGTATGCTCAAAAATCGGGCAAGGATTTGTTCTTTTCGAAGCGCCACGTTCGGGTTTTGCATTCCGCCCCACGAAATGCTCGTTGCCTGCATTCGGGCACCCGCGCTTTGTCTCACGGTTCTGGTTGGGCACGCCCCCCACAGCAAGCTAGACGTCGCAGTCAGAAAAAGCTTTTGGGCTGATGTGGCTCAACAGACAGCAGACTGGTGCCCTGATTTGTCTCCTATTGATGCCAACGGGCGCGTTGGCTCGCAGGTTTCCGATTTTGTTTTCGGTCAAGGTTTCTCGCAAAAAGAAGACAGCAACGGGGCCAGTCTGCATAACATTTGTGCGATTTCGGAGAGCCATCTGTTGAGTGCGCAGCTCGCAGCTGCAGACGATTACACTCACACCTGCCCTGGGGGGGGGCACCATCGCATTGACTACATCGGGTGCTCTCAATTTCTACGAGACTATGCTAAGAGCACCGAGGTGCTACATGATTTTGACACTGGGCTGAAAGGGAAGGGGCATTACCCCCTCAAGGCCAAGTTTGAGCGGCAGCAAGCTGTCAAGTATCCCCTTCTTCAGGCCAAGCCCATTGATATGAGGCGGCTTGAAAATCCTGATGATGTTGCCCATTTCAAGACCCTCCTGAAAGCCATCCCTCAGCGAGAATGGGGGCTCAATGTTTCCAGTCATGCTCTGGAGGTGCTTCAGGATATTAATGACGCTGCCAATGCTGCCTTTGCGAACAAGGCTCTTCGAGCCAAGAGGCAGTATGTTGACAATGACTCTCTCGCTCTCATCCGATTCCGCCGTGGGGTGCACAAAGCGCTTCGCGCTTGGCAGGGGCATGGCTCAGAGGCTTGTGAGCGCAGGTTTTCTTCTTTTGCTTTCAGGGTGGTTGTTGGGGACCTGAAACTGCCCCTTGGGACATGTGACTCAAGCTGGTGGGTCTCTCAGCTGCGAAATCTTGAGCAAGCCTCGATCCAGCGCCTTCGTACCGGAATGGGGTTTGAGCGATATTCGCAGGCTCTTCTGGTCTTTCTCACATCCACTGAAACGGTTTTGCATCACCTTTTAGAAGCGGGTCGCACACGCTTTTTGGACAGAAGTGGAGATAACATCAATGCCGCCATTGATGGCGCTCAGCCTCTCTCTGAGTGGACAGCAGTCAAGAAGCTGCTTTTGTGCGGGGGGAAGCCTTCGAGGCCAACGCAGGGGCCCCCACCACTCCCAATGATCAGGACACCGCAAGGTCAGGTCTTGCGGGAGGAAGGCGACATCGCCGACCACATCCAGCAGCACTTCTCGGGCGTTGAGATGGGCAAGGCAGCGCAACCACAGGCTTTGGTTGGCGACTATAATCAAATGTTGCCCCTTCTCGACCCAAACTTCCCTCGTGATATTACAGTTGTTCCTACCATCTATGATGTTGAGGCGGGCCTCGCGAGGCTGAAAACTGGTCGGGTCCCAGGGACCGATGGTTTCCGCTCTGAATATGGCAAGGCAGCCTCTAAGGAAGTGGCGAGACTTGTGACCCCCCTGCTGGTCAAGACAGCCATCGCGGCTCGGGAACCGATTGCATTTAAATCCGCTCGCTTGGGCACCTTTCCCAAGGGTTCGGGTGATTTTACTTTGGCCGCTTCGCGTCGGAGCATTTTGGTTTCGCCGGTTATCACCAACATGTATCATTAACACCTGAGGAGTCTTGCCATGGACTACTTTTACGCCTCAGTGCTTTCTGTGCAGATGGGAGGAATACCTGGACGGGGGTGCGACATTGCTGTCCTCACCTCGCGTTTGCTTTTTTCAGCTTGCGGAAATCCACGGGCATTCGGCCGGGGCCTTACTTCCGGACCTGAAAAACGCGTTTGACACCACCTTGAGGCAGCTTGTCTTGGCGCTCCCGCAAGACAGTGAGGATGTCGAGTATGTGCTTGCCCATATGGATTTGCCCCCCCCCCCCCCCTACTTTTAGAGAGGCTCAAGTCCCAACTGGCTACTAAGCCGATGTTTGAGGATCGGATTCCATCCGAACATGCTTCGGCATCTAACTGTACCCAGCCTCGCAGAGGCACCAGGCCAGGCACTGTTTTCCCTACGGATATGTTCAATGTTGTTTTCCAGGGGGTTCACGCCGACATCAATCGGGAGCTCCATGATGTTTATGATTTCCTGGCCCTGTTTGGTATACCCACCACTGATTTATTTCTGGCAAGAGAAGCACAACTCGACACCAGAGATTGGGGGACTTCATTCGTGGATGATCTCACCCAGCCCTTTGTCACTTCTGATGCGGGACAGCTTCTAACGACTGCGCAGCGGGTGCTCGATGCTGTGCGTCGGGCCTGCTGCATCCGTGGTTTAATCCCTAACGCTGCCAAAACGGTTTTCATGTCAGCTTTTCGGGGAAAGGGTTCAATGGCAGCGAGACTGGATAAGAACGGAGATCCCCATCTCCATGTCAGGTCTGACGCATGGGACTTTCAAGCCAAGATTGTCATTGATCACCGTGTGCTTGGGTCTTTCCTCTCCCCCACCAATAGTATGGCTACGGAAGTGGTTGCAAGATGCCACAGGGCCAAGTCGGCTTTAGCCCCCATCAAGAAGGTCATCGGACCTAGGGCCATGCTCAGCATCCGTAAAAAAAGGTGCTGTATGCGGAATGTTTAGCTAGCTCCGTACTGCTTTACAATGCCGCAACTTGGCTTGAACTCTCACAGAACCTGTGGAGAAAAAGTACGCACCACACATGAACAGGTTTACCGTGCTGCTCTGCATCTTCCGTGCGCCAACAACTCAGAAGAAAAAGTCACTTACTTTGAGGTGTTGGGCCAAGTTTCGCGTCTTCCTCTTGCCGTGTGCTTTCGGTGGCGCGCCTTAGGTTATTAGCTCGGCTCATGGCTGGTTGTCCGGACATTCTGTGCGTTTGTCTGCAATATCTTTGTGAGCCGATTAGAGGCTGGATGGCTCTTATTGAGGCTGACCTAGTCTGGTTCACTTCTTTCCTCGACCCCAGCAAACGGCCGCAGGACAATACTGTGCCCAGCTGGATCAGGATTATTAAAGACAGCCCTAAGGCTTTTCGTTCCACCTTGAAGACTGTTGCCTCCAAAGCTGTACGATTCTGGAATGACCAGTTCCACCTTGAGGCGTGGAACAGGAGGTGCAGGCAGCACCTTCGGGGGTCCCCGCTCGAAAAGCAGGTTGGGCCTGCGCCCGCAGTAAAGTGCCCCCATTGTCCTGCAGTTTTTGCTTCTGAACGTGATTACCACGTCCATTTGGGCAAGTTTCATGCCCCCCCACAGTGCGCCCAAAAACTTTGTGGTGGGGACTTGCTGCCAGGTTTGTTGCAAAGACTTTCACACCCCTGGGAGGCTCCACAAACATGTTTCCAGAGTTGGGCGTTGTCGTCGGGCCTGGTTTTTCTCGGGACTTTGTCTTGGGGATGAGACGGCTGTTGCTGCGAACATGCACGAGATTCGTGAGCAAGCCGCTGCGAATCGCAAATCTGGCAAGCAAGATCATCATGCGATCAAGCCCCCCAAGCGTTTCTTTGGACCCCCCATTGCTCTACCAGGGCAGGGACAGCAGCTCCCACAGTTCGACGCGCCTGAAGAGGCGCCACCACCACCACCGCCGCCAGTGTTCAGCCCCTTGCGGGCACCGTGCAGGCCACAGGTGTACATCTTACATCTCTTCTCAGGTTATCGACGACAGGACGATTTCCAGCACCAGGTGGAATTGGCTTTAGCGCGGTTTCATGCTAATATTGTAGTATCATCTATAGATGTTATCAACCACCCCGTTTGGGGTGACTTAGCTAATGATAATTCGGTCTTAATGTGGATTGGTTTGGCCAAATCTGGACGAGTGGCAGGGGTCATGGCAGGCCCCCCCCTGCGAAACTTGGTCGATTGCGCGTTTCAGGGAACCTGTTCAAGGAGCCCGTGGGCCCCGTGCGAGACCACCCAGACCTCTGAGGCTTGCATCCCAGCTGTGGGGGCTCCCGTTTGTCTCTGAGCGTGAGTCTGATCAGCTCTCTCTGGGAAACAGACTGCTGCGAACCACACTTGAGTTTGCAGTGGTTTGCTGGAGGCTGCTCATTCCTGAAGCTGTGGAGCACCCAGCTGAGCCTTGGAGCCCCCCTGAGGCCCCGAGCTCTTGGCACTTGGAGCTCACCAAAGACCTTCTTCAACAACCGGGGGTGGAGAAGCACACTATCCATCAATGTGCGTTTGGGGCCCCCTCGCGCAAACCTACGTGTCTCATGGGTGTGCATTTTGGAGCCCTACGGGATGCCCTACAGGCTAGGCCTCAAGGAGCCCTCTCTCACCATCCCCGGGGGCACATCGCTCTCGAAGGTGTGGATGAGCAGGGGGTCTGGAACACCGCTCACGCCGAAGTTTACCCCAAAGGGCTATGCGAGCTTCTCGGGAGGGCCTTTGTTCAGGAAGCATGGGTGAATTGTCCCTGGTTATTTGATACCCCCCCAACGCCACTACCCACTCCTGCATCGACTGTGACGACACGACGGTTACGATTCAAACAACCACCACGACCCACAGCGCGGTTACATGCCGAGATGCCGCGACAAGAAGGATGGAATACACAGCTTGTACCTACAGATACACAACATGTATGGACTTACGAAGACGAGTTATGGTTACGACAGCAATACAACCTCGACGAAACGTGTGATGAGTGATTACCACCGTCATTGCGCAGATACTACGTGCCCTTGGACCCGTACATGGACACGAGAACGATTGGTATGGATTGCATGCGACAAAATAGGCCGGACAGAGAGGATGCAGGGCAGAGCTAACACTAACTATTCTAGATCGCCCTCCCCCTGCTCACCTGATGTCTCGCCTAACTGCAACTTTGTAAGCCTCGTGGGGGCCTCACGAGTACCAGTGTAGTGACCAGAGGTAAGGTGAAGGGCTGGACTATGAAAGTGATGCCGTGCCCACCCAGGTGCCGCGAGTGCACACTCACTTTAAAAAGTAGTAGTCCAGTGCTGTATACTAATGCATACCGCTCGACATTGTCAGTAGCCGACCCTCTGGGGGTGAAGTCGTCTTTTCCAAATTGTATAACTTATTTCCTTTATCCCTCTTATAGTGTACGCCCACTTTAAAAGGCAGTAACCCATACTGCACTGCATGATCGGGGAGGGAGAGGGTTGCACTGGGAGGGGATTACCACTACTCATGGCTGCCAATCTCACCTGACCTGATAGCCCCTGTACGGCCTGGTGCAGCTCTGTGGCTGCACAGAGCCGAGGTTTCACATTGCTGCTGCTGGCTGCTGGCTCTGCTGCCGCCGCCGCTCTCACCCCCCATCTCCCTCTTTTTGCCGTCCACCCTCAGTGATCGGGCTTCCACTCTCTGCCCTAAAGCCGCGAACGAACGAACGAGGAGGAGGAGGAGGAGGAGGAGGAGGAGGAGGAGGACGAGGAGGAGGAGGAGGAGGAGGAGGAGGAGGAGGACGAGGAGGAGGAGATGGGTCCCCCAGGGGGGGGGGTCTGGACCACAGCTCCCCCGGTTGTGGCTGGTCGGCCTCGCGGCCGCCGCGGGGGGCCTCCTCGCGGCTGCCGCGCGGAGCCTCGGCAGCCCGCCGGTGCCTTGGCTGCTCTTGCGGAGGCTCTGCGTCGCGGCGGCTCCCCTTGGATTTGCGGGGGCGGCATGTGCGCACCGTGACCGCCACTCAAGGAGGCCGCGGGCCCTGAAGAGGGCACGGCTGGAGAGGGCATGGCTGAAGAGGGCATGGCTCTCTGTTGATGGGCCAGCTTTCCACCGCCGCCACTGTAGGCATGACGGGGGAGAGGGGAGGATGGGGAGGCCCTCCTCCTCCTCTTCTTCCTCCTCCTCCTCCTCCTCCTCCTCCTCCTCCTCCCCCTCCTACCTATGGTAGTGGCGGTGGAAAACATGCTCATCATCTGTTGCCCCTGGGTATCACGAGCGGCGCACATGTCCGTATCCGCGCCCTCGGGGTCTAGCGGGGGCAGCGAGAGCTTCGCAGCAGAACCAGAGCAATTACCAGAGCTGGAGGCCGTCCACGCGTGGGAGTTGGGGACCCCAACTGGGCATGAGGGAAAGCGGGTCCTGCAGCGGCAGCGGGCCCTGAACTCCGGGGCTTTCGCAAGGACCTGTGTTCCCGAGTCGTTCTCTGACCGCCCCAGGGCCCCGGGAATGCTCCCATGAGGAGCCAACAGACGGGCAAACCACTCTATGACCCGGACACCACTTCTCTATACAGTGAAAACTGGTAGAAAGGATGCGAGATAAAGATGGAATGGCCATGGAAGGCCATGCGGGCACTTCTCGAGCGGGGCGCGGCCAACGAAAAAGGCCAAGGATGGGAGGACGGGAACTTATGCAAAGGTAAACTTGGAAAGTCGCTCATCCTTACTGTCAGTGTTGACTGTAGGATACTTTACTTCACCCATCGCGCCACCCGATGCGCCACGCGCCATTACCTTCGCGTCCTCGCGCCCCCACGACCCCGCTCTCCGGCCCCATGCCGCGACGCGCGAAGCCTCGGTCATCTCCTCGCCCCTTGGGGTAATCTGAAATCTTCCCCAAAACGACTTGTGCATAACAAATACATGACCGCCCTAGGGGGTGGTTTAGCTTCTCCCCCCTAGGGGTGGTCTAGCTGCATGACAGGTCTGCACTTCGGAGGTGCACGCAACAAAACATGTTCGGAGGTCCGCGCGAATCTCTTGGGTCGACGCTGGACCCCCGTCCCCCCCTGGCGCGCGTAGCGCGCCAGGGGGCGGCGCCTGTGGCGCCGCCAGGGGGTCCAGCGCCGACCCAAGAAATCTGCGCGGACCTCCGAAATAGATGTGACATGTTTCCGACATTTTGTTGTTCGCCCACGGCGCTCAAAACGTGGGGGGCCTAAGTGCTTCCCACCACCACCGCTACAGATCAGGGGCGGCTGTCCTTTGGTAGCGCTGTGTTGTGCGGGGCGCCGACTGCACATCCTGCAAGCCGCTACGCCAGGTCGCCCTCCCTGGTGGCAGACAGGTCGGCCTCCCCAGGACTATTGTGCTACGGTGGTGGTCGTGAATAACCAGACGCCCGACGTCTTGTTCGTTTCAATGCGCGGTCCCCGGAAGTCCCGACCCCTTCTTGACGGCGCCCAGAAGGGGATAGGAGAGGGGGGTGAGGCTTCTTAGAAGGAGGCTGCTTCTTAGAAGGCGCTGGCCTTCCATCTGTAGATGAGGCCCGCGCCTTCTAAGTCGGCGGTGGACAAACCTCCCTCTAGCAAACCTCCCCTTAGTGAAAACGGCCTGGGACCGAAACCGACGGACCCGAATCCGCACAAATGACGGCCGCGACGCCCTCTCGCGAACCGAAAACGGCCAATTCACTAATCGGCGTGTCAGGGTAGGATGGCCAGGAGAGAGGCTTCGCTAGGTCTTCAGCGCCTGGGGGCCCTCGCCGGGCCATGTGACCGTCGAACAGCTATCTGGGATGGAAGACCCGTTCCAGGGAATCAGCGGGCGAAGAACTGTATAAAATAAACTTTTTCGCTGTCGGGGGCGCCTTTCCCTGGGCCGCTGGAAAACTTATACCCCTACGGTGCCACCGTAAGGGTATAAACTTTCCAGCCGCCCAGGGAAAGGCGCCCCCGACAGCGAAAAAGTTTATTTTATACAGTTCTTCGCCCGTTAAGGGAAGGTCGGCCACGCGCGGAGGGTGGTAAGGGGGAGGGGGGAAGGCTTCTTAGAAGCACCCCTGCTTCTGAGTATCTTTTGCGCAAGGTGGTCCAAGATGCTCCTCGATGGTCCTCGCCGAGAAAAAGTGCACACGTCCGAATGATGCCAAATGCCTTGATTTCTTCATTACGTTGGCGGTTAACCGGACGGAAGTACGAACTACTTCGGCGTCCAAGAACAACATAAGGCATCTTGCGAGACGCACGTCGACTAGCGAAACCGACAGGGGACTGTACGGGTACACTCGCATGCCACTGCTTAGTGAACCCGCGCAGATTTCCTCAATCGCATTTTCTGGGTGGGAATAATCCTCTGGAGGTATGGGAATTGAATTGTTGGGGCAACCGCAGTGGTTGCCAGGGAGAGAAAGGGGGTCGGTCTGCCTCTGGATGCTAGCGTGGGCTATATCTCGCCTGAACTCAGGTGGCTTACAGGTGCCCTGGGTGGCGTGGGAGGGTTTGACAACGTTGCCAGGTGGGCGCAGCCCACCTGGTCCAGACCTCAAGCTGCGCAGGGCGCGCCAAAGACACCTGCAAGCCGCGCTGTGGGCCGCAGACAGACAAGCCACCCCGGCATCCTCTTCGAGCCTCCCTCTCCCCGTCCCCAGCGGTCATCCAGAATTAAAACAGGGCTAGGATCGGGATAAATCGCTCCAGAGCGTTCCGGAGCGCTCTCAGAGCGTTCCGGCACGCTCTGGTGCGGCCGCGGCGCCCAACACATCCTCCAAACCCGCCGATTCTCTGAGATTTCCGAGTTATCCCGATGCGATTTTGTCCCGATCTTCGCGTCGTTTTAAGAATCCCCTTCAGCAGCCCCCAGAGGACGTGGAGGACGTGGAGGAGGAGGAGGAGGAGGCGGAGGAGGAGGAGGAGGAGGAGGAGGAGGGAGAGGAGGGGAAGGAGGAGGGAGGAGGAGGAGGAGGAGGAGGAGGAGGAGGAGGAGGAGGAGGAGGAGGAGGAGGAGGAGGAGAGAGGAGGAGGAGGAGAGGAGGAGGAGGAGGAGGGAGGGGGAGGAGGAGGGAGGGAGGGAGGAGGGAGGAGGAGGAGGAGGAGGAGGAGGAGGAGGAGGAGGAGGAGGAGGAAGAGGAGGGAGGAGGAGGAGGAGCAGCGCGCACGGCGCGCAGAGGCCGCCCGCGGCGCTGGCGAGTCCGGCACCCACGCGGGGTCCCACGGCGCGGCGCTGCCCGTCCCCGGCCGCGAGGAGGGCGCCGGCTCGCCGCGCGCCTGCTGGGCGTGGCTTAAGAGCCTGCTTTTTCTTTATATCCAGGCAAGCTTACTTGCATGGCGTTCCCCCCCCACCCCCCCCCCCCCCTCGCCCCTCTTCAGTCGAACACGAGCGTGCAAGTGCCTTTCGACTTGCGTGATTTCCGCACGTCGAATCGTTTTCGGCTTGTTTCAGACTCAGCCCCCCCCCCGTCCATGCAAGTAAACTTGCCCGAATCCAAAGAAAAACAAGCTCTAATGGGGGGGTCATAGATGGGGGGGCAGAAACGGTCCCCTTTCCTGCCCGATTTCGGGCCCCTCCGGAGCCCCAGGGGGCTCGTGTAGGTACCGTTCGGGTACCTTTTCGGACCACCCTCGCCACCCCCCCATTCATGATCCCCCCATGGCGTGACGCACAAGCCTGCCCCCTCGCCGACCCGGGCGGCTGGGGCATCGACGGCATCGTCGGCCTGGGCGGCAGCATCGGGTCCTCTGTGGTAAAACGACGCGAAGATCGGGACAAAATCGGATCGGGATAACTCGAAATCTCAGAGAATCGGCGGGATTGGAGGATGTAGTGGGCGCCGCGGCCGCCCCAAAGCGTGCCGGAACGCTCTGAGAGCGCTCCGGAACGCTCTGGAGCGATTTATCCCGATCCTAGCCCTGTTTTATGTGGAGGGTGCGGGGCCGTACGAGGCCCGGACCTCCAGCGCAGCAACAGAAACACTCCCCCTGCCGATTGGGCAAGCATCCCCCGAAGCACCCTGATAGCAGCAGAAGTGAACATATGCGGGTCGAGGAGTATGAGGTCGGCTAGTGAAACGTGCCAACCTAGGTTATCCGATGGATCCCTAGGGATGATGACAGGCGGGACACAGGTGAGAGCACGGCCATGTGCACCGTAGCGCATTTGTTCCCAAGCATCCTGTGGTGTGAGGTCCTCGTGTTGAATTAACAGCGCCCCGCGTCCTCTCCTCCTCCTCCTCCTCCTCCTCCTCCTCCTCCTCCTTCTCCTCCTCCTCCTCCTCCTTCTCCTCCTCCTCTACAATTACTCAATGTGAATACTCTCTCCGTCTTCCCCTGATGACGGTTTGAAAATATAGCCCCCCCCCGCGTACTGTTTTTTACACACAGGATTCCCCGGAGTTGGGTTTTCGCCTGCATGTTTTCCAAAATGCTGCTCTCGCTGAGGCGCCCGCCTCATTTTCGGGCCCCGCTCGTTCCGAATCGTGCTCCCGTTGCAGCGCTGGCCTCATTTCCGTGCTTCCGCTCGTTCCGAATCGTGCTCCCGCTGCAGCGCTGGCCTCATTTCCGCGCTTCCGCTCGTTCCGCGTCGTGCTCCTGCTGCAGCGCTGGCGTCATTTCCCGTGCCATGCCACGGCATGCAATGCAATGCAATGCTAGGTTGATACTACGCTTTGCGGTGCTCTTCTACGCCATGCCATGCCGTGCTCTACACTGCATCGCGTACCCTTTTCGGGATCATTGTCCTGCTCGACATCCGACTGTGCGAGTAGAGAGGGGATCTACGCCATGGTAGAGGATGGGAGGGAGGGGTAGGATGTCAGATGTGACGCGAGCGCACCTAGCTTGCCTCCTCCCCCTCCTCCCTCCCTCCCTCCCTCCCTCCGTCCCATCCCTGCCTCAGCTTTGCGCATGTCTTTTTCGGGACACTCCTTACACGCTTCGTTGCCCTAAAAGAATCTCCACCGACGGCCCCAATGGCAGCGGCCGGGTGGCGACCCAGCCCCACTTTGACGCACCCATCACATTGGCCCAATCAGAAGCTCAACCGAAGACCCCAAATCCAACGCCCGCATGGCGGTCCCGCCTTATTCTGGCACACCCCTCACACGTTTCGTGGCCCCATAGGGAGCTCCACCGACGGCTTCAGAGTGGCAGCGCCCGCATGGCGCCCCTGCCCCAATGTGACACATCCCGCACACATGTCGTGGCCCCAATATGGAGCTCCACCGACGGCCCCAGTGGCAGCGCCCGCAAAGCGCTCACGCCACATTTTGGCACATCCCTCGTCACGCGCGGCCTCATAGGGAGCTACAGCGAATGCCCCAATGGCAGTACCCGCATGGCGGCATCGACCCGCTTTGGTACACCCCTCACACGCTCGGTAGCCCCATAGGGAGCCCGACAGAAGGCTTCAATGGCAGCGCCCGCGTGGCGACGCTTGGTGGCCCCATAGGGAGCTCGACAGAAGGCCCCAGTGGCAGCGCCCGCATGGCGGCCCCGCCCCACTTGCACACATCTCTCACGCGTCTGGGGGCCCCATAGAGAGCTCCACCGAACGCCCCAGTGGCGGCGCTCGCATGGCGCCCCCACCCAAGTCTTGGCACACCCTTCACTTGTTTTGTTGTCTCTGGGGAGCTTCCCTCCTTTGTCCCGCCTGCCTCACGATACTCACGCCTGCGTATGGTTCCTTCGCCAGGATAATCACAAGGGGTCGTGACTGGGACAAGGGTTGGAGCACGGCCATGAGCACCTTCGCCCTTCTCGTATGAATACGCATCGTGGCCGTCCGAACCAAACATGCAACCAACATTGTGGCGAGAGCACGGTTCCTCTATAATGTGTATGGAAGTCTCCGCTAGTAGACTCCTCAGCCGAAACGCTATAAAGAAAATATCGAAGCGGAATGTGTCTGCCATTTTCGATATATGGGGTCCTCTCTGGGCCCAGGGAAAGTCAAACAAAGACTCCGGATATACAGCTGGTCCGAGGGAAGGTGTCCACACCTCGGGGGGTCGCGTTGCGAAAAAAAACACGCGGAGGATGCCTGGGAACGGCAGCGCTGGGTCCTCACTGAGGCGGGACAACTATACCCAGACGGCTATACCCCTTTTCCATGATTTCGGCGTCCCAGGTGCGATTTCAGTCCCCTGGGCAATCAAACATGAATCTGGGGCGCAAACATATCCCACGGGAAGGGGTCGTTGGAAAATCACAACGTCGGATGTCTCTCACTGTGGATGGAAGCAGTATCACTTGCGTGGCACTCCATCCCCTCCCACCCCCGCCTGGCCACCTTCTCAGGCAGGGCAGGGCCGAAAAGGCGTGCAATTCTGAAGCCCGACTTGCGTGACATCCAAGTTTCCTTTCTGGCATCACCCCCCTCCCCCCTCTACGCAAGCAAATTCGCCAGAATCTAAACACAAACTGCCGCGTATGGATCCTCCCCGCTCCGCCTCCCCCTCCCTCCCCCCTCCCGTGCAGGGAGAGCGGAGACAGTCAGAGGAGGAGGGGTGGGAGGGGGAGAGGAAGGATACCCATACATCTGACAGTGCGACCTTTGCAATGCGTGGCCGCCAGTGGTCCCGACACCTTCCCCGGGGCAGCTATCCGTCCCCGATCCATGCTTTGATCGTCCTGGGGACAGAAGACGGGTTCCAGGGCCCGTGATCGAGAGATAACGCCCCGATCCGACACATACATCGGCGGACATCTGAGCGACGACAAGAAGCGGGTCCCACGCGCGATGACATAGGAGGAGGAGGAGGAGGAGGAGGAGGAGGAGGAGGAGGAGGAGAAGGAGAAGGAGGAGGAGGAGGAGGAGGAAGATCTTGCGCCGCAGTTTCCGCGGGCCGCCACCTCGGCACGCTTGCGCTGGCAACGCGGGCGCCGACGCGCCACCTCTACCGCTGACTCGCGAACGTGTCGGCACTGTCGGGCACGTCTCCCTGCGCGCCCCTCGGCGAAGTGGACCCGTACCCAGATTCACGCGGTGGTTGCTAAGCGGATAAAGGGGGGGACATAAGGGAATGCGAAGGCAGGTGATGTACGGCCAAACCCAGCCTCTCGCCGTCGCTCGGACGTCCATTTCCCGTGTGTTTGTTCGGTGTCGTACGTGTTTTTGTTTTGCTCGTTGGTCGAGGATGGTCCTCGATGGTTCTCGCCGAGAAAAAATGCACACGTCCAAGCGATGCCAGGAGCCTATAAGTGGGTTACAAGTGCCCTCGGTGGAATAGTGAGGCTCGAAAACTGGACTTTGCCCATGTCTCTACCCCCCGTGAACCACTGAAGGCACTTCTCACTCAATCATGAAAGAGATGCGGCCAGACATAGCCCCCCGTAGCATCCGCTTACAACTCTCCTCCCCACGTAAGACCCCCGCGGTGACACATGTATGTTGAGAGTGGTTATGGTTGTTGCTTGTTTGTCATGTCTCTCTTCAACAAGAAAAGATGATTTAACTCCACGTCCTCGGGATCTGGCGAGGCGCCGCTGCGCGCCGAGGCGGCCGTGCCGAGGCGGGGGGCGGGGGCGTCCTGAGGGAATCAATCAAACACCTGTACGCCTGGCGTCGGGAAGGTGGCCTGCAAGATCGACCTCCGAGAAGCACGCCATCCCCGTGAGGCGATCCTCCGCGAGGGCCCCTTCTGTGCACACGCTGTCCCCCCGCCAGGGCCTCTTCGGGGAGGCTGCCCCCCAAGATGGGGGCACAGCGTGTCATGAGCGGGCCAGCGACGCCACATCGCACGCCACCTTTCCAGACACCAGCCGTCCCCAGGAAGAAGCAGAGGCGACACCACTAATGCGGGATGACGATTAATAAAAAAATGGGGGGAACGATTAGAAACATAGTTTTCTGCTATTTCTGCACAAGTTTCTGACGGGAGGAGAACGATAAAAAAAATAGTTTTCCAGCCCGCGGCCGGATTTTTCTAATCGTCATCCCGGGCGCCGCCGCGTGAACACGACCCCCGGTCATTTATTAATCGTCATCTTCCATTACCTCCACCAGCGCGAGGCGCCAGGGAGGGTCATCCTGGCGGTGCGGTCCCCCCCTCTCGCCCGAGGCATCCCTACGAGGCATCGTGGGCCCCTCGATGGAGGCGGCCCTCCTGGCGATGGCGGCGCCTCTCGACTCACCAGACCTATCCTGGGGTGCATTTTGACCAGCGCCTCGAGAATAGAAGAAGAACAAGCGGCCATAAACAACAACTTTTGGCGCTCCGCGCGGATTTCTTGGATCTGCGCTGGACCCCCCTCCCTGGCACGCGGAACGCGCCGGGGGCGGCGCCGGAGGCGCCGCCGGGGGGGCCCAGCGCGGATCCAAGAGATCTGCGCGGAACGCCAGAAGTGTACCTATGGCGGTTCTCTGTCTGCGAGGAAAGAATCCAGACGTGGCGGCGAGGGCTCCCCAGGACAAGCGGAGGCATATCGGGTGCCCCTTCTCCTCCCACGGTGGTCCAGGTCCGTCGGGCCGTAGTCCCCAGCGCGATCTCGGACGCGGGGCGGCGCCCGGGCCGACCGGGGGGCCTCCTCGTCCGGGTGTTGCCGATCGTGCCCTCCTGGCCCAAGCTGCCCCGGGCCGTTCGGTCATGTTTGGAGGCCGCCGGGGCCCTCTGCCGGGCAGCTGTGAGGCTGAGGCCGCGAGGGCCTCCCCGGAACCTGAGATCCGACGGCGCGGCATTTTTTTTTATTTTTTTATATGAGCTTTTTTTTGATGAGCACTTCGTAGACTTCGTGCAAAAATCACGACCGGAGCCATCGCCCTGGACCCCACCTGCTCCATTTTTCGAAGCGGGTCGATATCGTTGAGGGCCCCAGGGCCCCGAAGCCTGGCGAAAGCGCCTGGATCTCGGGGGAGATCCTGGAGACATCTTGGGCCAGGGGCACGTCTTGGCACGCCAGAATGAATCCAAACAGTAATGGGTACGATGCCCAACAGCAAATGTTGTCCAAAACCGACAGCGGCCGCTGTTCGGGAACGTCCACGGCGACGCCGACAGCAAATTCTGTTCGTAGTGGGCAGGAACTACTCTTGGCCATCGTGCCCACTGCCTCCGTACCCATGTCGGTCCACCCGAACCTCTAGCAACACCCCATCCTCTCGAGGGGAACGAAAGGGTAGGATGGCAAAGGGCCGGGTAGAGAATCAGCTCACGCAGCTGGTTCTCCTGAAGCCTCCTGGCGCCAGGAGGCGCCCATGTATGGAGGAATGGCCCGGCGGCGGGGCGGAAACCAGCTGCACGCTGCTCTCACAATTCCTGCCTGGCCCGATCCTCCATCTCCGGCGCCACGTCCCGGGCGCGGGGCGGCGCCCTGGAAGACCGCGGGGCCTCTTCGGGCTCGGGGTCCCGGCCGCAGCGCCGCTGGCGCATGCGGGCCAGGGCCGTGTGGCGCTCCGACGTGCCGCCAGCGGCCGCCGCGCGGCGCTGCGACGGCCAGGGCGGGGCGAGGCAGGCCATGGGTGGTCGGGGCGGGGAGGGCGCGGAGGTCGGATCGGACTACCTACCAGGCCACCCCAACCCAACCCGAAGACCCGAATTTCGGGTTGGGGGGGGGGAAGGGCTCCACATGTGTTGTTTCGATGTTTCCCGACCCCCCCCCACTGGAAATCGAGGATCAATCTGAACCTTCGGGGTTGGGTTGGGGTGGTTTGGTGGCCGGAGAGGGTCGGGCGAGCTGTCGCGGGATCCTAGAAGCTCGCGCCTCGCGGCGCGAAGCGCAGACGCTGCGAGTAACTCCGCGCTCTCGCGCCGCCCTCCCCGGGGGGGCCCCAGCCGTCGTCGGGGGGCACAGGCCGCGGAGCGCGAAGCGCGAAGCGCGAATCGCGCCCTCGTGGGGGCCCTTGGAGCTTTCGGTGGCAACTCCCCTGACCTTCCAGGAGGGCTAAAAAATAGCACCAGGACCTCGATATCCTAATTCCTGTCGAGGCTTTAGGCAGCCCAGATAGGTCTATAGGTCTGGAGGGCTATTTTTCAGTACTCTGGAAGGTCAGGGTCACGAGAGCCCTCCCCTGCCATCTTGTTGGCTCTTGCGCAGCGAGGCCAATCGACGCTGTTGGACGCCAGACCGGCGGACTTGACGCTGATCGACGGTGACGCACTGCATAAACTGCGCAACGGGGGTATGCAATGCCCCCATGACTTGCGACCGAACGAGCCCAAGCCTCCAACGCCTTGAAACGGTCAAGGCAAGCTTTTCTCAGTTGCTGCCCTCGTGGGGCCCTCGCAAGGCCCTGCAGCCGTCAAAAGTCGACTCGGGATGGAAAACAAGCCCTAGGGGAAAGGGTCGGGGCTTCCGGGGAGCGCACTTTGAACAAAAGTACATCGGACATCTGTCTGGGGAAAGGGGGACAACACAAGGGGGTCAACAACTCCGCTCACGCAAACGGCTTATCCAGCGACTCCCAGCGCCGGCTGACACCAGCCACGTGCAACAGATTTCGCACCCCACTGTCCACCCCCCCTTTTCTGAGGGGCAACGATGGGATTGTGGATGCCATGACAATGGACACCCTATCAATCCGATCATTGAACTAGATGTGTTTCAAATGGTTGAAAAATGTGTTGATAATGTTTGCAACCTATCTGCACATGTTTAACACATGCTTTAGACATCTGGAAACTAATTGGCAACATGCTTCCTCTCAATTGATCGTCGCCCACAACGATAGGATGGGACTGGCTCAGAGGCGGGAGCATCGACCCATCATCGGCGACACATCGCCGACACACATCGGCGACAGGCCCCTGATGGCGGATCCGCACGTTCCCGGGCGGGGTGGAGCCACCGCGCCACTGACGGCGAGCAATGGGGGGGCCGATGCGTTCCCCCCTGAACCTATCCCTGAGATGCCTCGTTGCCAAGCCACTGCAACATCGCAAACAAAGCACGACTGGAGCCACAAGCGCCATCGTTCTGCGCCATTTTCCGAGCTGGATCGATCTGTGAGGGCCCCGGGGCCCGACATTGAGCGAGAATGCCCGTCGTGAAAAAACTGCAGCGCCAGGAGCTCCCAGATCCCCCACTGACAAGGGGACGCTGCCCCTGCTTGTCGCCCGACCCGAGAATGTTCGAGGGCAGCGGTTGCTGTGCAGGCCTCCTCGTGGCAGGCCCGCGACCCCTCAAAACGCCGAGCCGGAGCGGCGGAGGGGACGGCGCGAGGTCGCTGCGTGGCCTCGTCCTCCTCCTCTTCCTCCTCCTCCTCCTCCTCTTCCTCCTCCTCTTCCTCCTCCTCCTCTTCCTCCTCCTCCTCCTCCTCCTCCTCTTCCTCCCCTCCTCCTCCTCCTCCTCCTCATCCTCTTCCTCCCTCCTCTTCTTCCTCCTCCTCCTCCTCCTCCTCCTCCTTTTCCTCCCCCCGTGGGCTCCCAGGGCGTCCACGGGCTGGGCGGGGCCTGGGCTCAGAGGGCGCAGGCGCGGTTTTCGCCACCGTCCTGCTGTCAGGGGGGGGGTCCCAAACGGGCTCCCACGTGCCCAAGACTGGGCAGAGATCACAGGCTGGGGCCATAGAGTGGAGGCCAGTCCACAAGGAACCTTCCACAATAAACCCAATCCTGAGACCCAAGGACGTCCATGGATTTTTGGTGTGGAAACGTCACGCTGGCCACAGCAAAACCATTGGAATCCAAGAAACCCAGGGCACCCTGGAGGCAAGCAGGGTGTTTCTTGGCATGGGTCTCCACCGTATGTGGTGCAGCAGTGGACACGAGAAACGCTCGCCGTCTGCAGTCTGGGGTCGGCGGCCAGGCGGCCAGGCAGCGTGGGCTCAGAGGACAAACGTGGACCATCGTCACCGAGAACACATGGGGGGGGGCCCGACCACTGGGCGGTGCCCTACCGATGGATTCTCGGTGGCAGGTCCTTGGTCCTCCTCTGACGGGCTGGGTATTGCAGCGGCGCGGACCCTGGGCCGACGCAAAGAGGAGAACAAGGACGAGGACGAAGAGACGGGTGCCAGGAGACGCACACAAAGGGGAAGAGAGAGAGAGAGAGAGGATCAACAAAAAAGACAGCGCACAATGAACATGGAGGCACACAACATGCGATGTGGAGGTAACGGACACCGGGAATGTGGGAACGACAGTGACACACGCCTAACACTATAGCTGTATGTATACCTACAGTTGTAATTCTACATGCCATGAGCACAGAGAGATATAGACAGCTTTAAACAACAAGCAAAATGAAAAGTGGGAGAAACAAGCGCGAGAGAGAGAGAGATCAACACCACACACTCCCCACATGATGATGGTCATACAAAACGAGCAAACAAGTATTTGTCATCTTGGGAGACATGGGGAGGCAAATGTCTCGCCTTCTTCCGCGAAGCAAAACACATATCCGCAAGCACGCAACACACTTGCACGACTGAACATACAAAACCCTGCGTACTCTTCCGTGCATGTGATGTTCGGAACCTTCTCTTACCAATGCCTACATGGCAGCACGACTATCAAAGAGGGCGCAGCCTTTGTCTTCCTGCCACCACGAGTCTGTCGCGCCTGCGACGCACGCAAGAACAGACGAAGCTGAGGCTTGCATAACGTACATCGTTCGACGCAGAACACGGGGCGGGTCGCTTGGACGACGACGTCTACCGATAGGGCATCGGGCATCCGTCGTGGGTGGACGTGCCAAGGGCGGTCACTGGCGTCAGGGATAAAAATCGCAAGACGAACGCAACAAGAAAATATCAGGAAACTGGAGCACATATGGTTGGATACACACGAAAAACATTCCGAGGCTCCTTGCTGGCTACAAATTCGGAAGCCTGGCCTACACGGCCATCAAGGGCCGAGCGCTGAAAAGACGTCTGGCCACGTATCCAGCTCTAGCCCAGGCCGGATGCACCATGTGCATGTATCCACCTTCCTGGTAACATCGAGCAGGGACATGTCGGGCACCTCTGAGAGCGGGCGGGTGCAGCGTTCCGAAGTGCTCGGGAAGGATTCGCTGGCATGAGGGTGGAGACGACTCCCGGACCCCGCGGCTTCCCCCAAGACCCGTCAGCTCCTCAACGGTCCCGGGGCCCGTGGCAGAGCCCCGAGAGCCCCGTTGCTCCAGGACGCCTCCAGGACGCCTCACTCCTCAGGATTCCTCCAGCGCAGAAGCTCCCGCGCCCCAGTCCTCCAGGGCGCCCCCATCCCCGGCGCGCCTCCCTCGAGGCCTCGCAGATGGGGTCCGAGTAGATGGGGTCGGAAGATTGCACCGGATCGCCGATGCATCGCCGATGTCTCGGCGATACATCGACGATGCATCGGCGACGTCGGCGTGGGGGAACTCGGGCACAACATCGACCTACATCGCCGATGCATCGGCTGCGGAGCTACCCTCCGGCCCCATCTACTCCGGTCCCATCTAGGAGGCCTAGAACCCCTCGCCTTCATGGCGAGATTTGCTCCGCCCCAGGCCCGCCTGATGAGCGGCCGCCGCGCGCTCGCCCCCCGCTCAGCCGCCGCCCTCGAACGAGGCTGCCAGGCCCAGCGCCCAGGCGCGCCGTGGCCGCTGGTAGCGCACGCCGTTCGACTGCGTGGAGACCAGCTCGGACCGGAGGGCGCGGCGCCAGTAGATGCTGGCGAAGCTGCCCCACTTGCCGAGCTCGTCATCCATGGAGCGGCCGCCGTTGCGCAGGGGCCAGTTGTTGCGCACGCAGCTGCTGCCCAGCCCGTCGCGCCTGGCGAGCTCCCACAGCTCCTCCGCCCAGTCGAGGTCGCGAAACAGCTCCACGGCGGGCACCGAGGCCTCGCAGGCCAGCGCTACGTCGCCGAGGTCCAACAACGACAGGCGCCCCCCTTTGGTGAACCGCCGCGGGAGCATGAGACGCGTGAGCGAACGGTTGTCCTTCGCCTCGACGTCGAGCCACATCCGCGAGCCCCGCGTGAGCGGGGTCCAGCGGCGGTTACACCGCATGCTTACCAGATGCCTCCCCTTGCCCCCCCCCACCCCATAATTGCTCCAGTGATGGATGCTGCCGAATAAGTCTGGGTTCGCACCGCCAAGGGCCGACGTAGGAAGCACGGCGATTGCATCCTATATGTACACGCGCGCTGCGCAGCAATGAACACTCGATTTGTCGCGACACTGCCTATATGATGTTCCAAGGCAGGAGGGCTCCTGGAGCAGCTTGTGCACCAGCTTTCCTCCTCCGCTTCCTCCCCCCACTCATCCTCTTCGTCCTCCTCCTCTTCCTGCTTCCCCTTTCCTTGTGCATCTTCCTCGTAATATTCTTCCTCCTCCCCCACTTCTCTACCCCTTCCTCCCCACCCATCCTCCCTCCCCGCTCCTCCTTCTTTCCATCCGTCCATGCCACGCCGTTCCCTTCATGCTCCTCGTCCTCCCACCCACACCCTCGCTCCCTCGTCCTGTCCTTCACCTCCCCGTTCCTCCCCCCAAACGAACTTCTCCACCCCCAGTCCTCCTACTCGTGTTTATCATCCCTCCTCCTCCTCCCCCATCCTCCTCC